AATGTCTTTAACTGTGCTTCATGTTTATTGCCTAAAAACAGAGAATTAAACTTTTATTAAATCCAGGTACTTTTGAACTACATTCTTTTTCTTTTTTTTTTTTTTTTGGTTCCAGGAATGGAACTCGGGACCTCGCACTTTCAAGGCAGGTGGTGGAACCACTGGGATAAATCCCCAGCCCAATGTGAATATATTTAACAGTACTGGACTGTACACTTATATATTTTGTATCAGGGATCGAACTCGGGACCTCGCACTTTCAAAGCAGGTGGTGGAACCACTGGGATAAATCCCCAGCCCAATGTGAATATATTTAACAGTACTGGACTGTACACTTAAAAATGGTTGAGATGGTAAATTAAAAAAACTAAAATAAATACAATAGGGACAAAATAATCCCATGTAGAATTCTCCTTCAGCATCTGTGCCAGAACCTCAAGTAGAATTCATTCTCCTTAGGAATGTTTTCCAGACTTATGAGCATAGTTTAGAGGAGTGGCCCAATGTCTCAGGAGAGACAGAGGAATGATCAAGAGAAAAGAAAAATTCAAAGCAGTGAAATGTGAAGAGAGCCCCTTGACAGAGAGGAAATTGGTTACCAGGGAGAAATGAGGTGGGAATGAAGGAAAGGCTAGTTTCAGTTAAATGGAAATGCAGTGATTGAACTGACCTTTTCTAATGACTCTCTGTAGACAGTTGTTGCCTATAATTGGAAAACTGGAAACGTGGTGAAAAAGTTCAAAGGCCATGAACGTGAAATTACCAAGGTAATTGTCAGTGATTATTATACAGGGAATTTGGAATGGAATAAAGAAACTTCTAATAGCTTTCAATATTGACTGAGTGATACTTAAACCCAAAAGCTTTGTTTGATGTGCTGAAGAACCACTCCAGGAAAAGAAGAGCAAAGCATTCCAAAGTGAACAACTCAATATCCATTGATAGGTACATGGATAGACTGTGGTAATAGACACATAATGAAATATTACTCAGCCTTAAAAAAGAATGGAATTGGGATACATGTTACAACCTTGAGAACATTATGCTTAGTGAAAGAAGCCAGACAAAAAAGATAAGTACTAAGAATAGTGACCATAAAAAAATCAAATACACAGCAATGACTAATGCATAGCACTTCAATTATTTTAACTGTTACTGGACTATTTAAGTTTTTAAGTTCCTTCTTTTTTTTTTGGTACCGGGGATTGAACTCAGGTCCTTGCGCTTGCGCAGCAGGCGGCAAAACCACTGAGCTAAATCCCCGGCCCCTTATGTTCCTTCTTAACTTTTAAAATATATTTTCTAGGAATTTGTTTGTTGAGTCTAAATATTCAAAAATATTGGTAAAGTCTTTATATTATTTTCTTATTGTTTTGATCTATACAATTTCTCAGAGTATCTCATTTTTAATTCTTGATATGGGTTATTTGTGACTGCTTTTTGTTTTCCTCAATGATTCTTGCCAGAAGTTAGGCAATTTTTATTTCACTTTTGATTGAACCATCTGTTGGATTCATTGCTAATTTGTATTGAATACTTTCATTCTTGTTATGCTCGTCAACTTTTCATTACTATGAAAAAACTTTCTGAGGAGAGTTAAAAAAAAAAGATAAGTACTGTGATTCCACTTATGTGAGGTATCTGTAATAGTCTAATTCATATAGACAGTGGAAAAGTGGCTACCAATAGCTGTAGGGAAGAGGGAATGCTGTAAAGTTTCAGTTTAGAATAATGAAAAACTTCTGGAAATGGATGGTGGTGATGGTTGCCCAACAATGTGAATGTACTGATGCCACTGAATTGTATACTTAAAAATGGTTAGCCAGGCGTGGTGGCACATGCCTGCAATCTCACCCCTTGGGATGCTGAGGCAGGAGGATCACTGCAAGTTCAAGGCCAGCCTGGGCTACATAGTGAGTTCAAGACCAGCCTGAACTACATAGGGAGATCCTGTCTCAAAAAAAAAAAAAAAGAGTTAAAATGATAACTTTCTTGTTGTGTGTATTTTAGCACAATATTTTAAAAATATCATGGAATATATTAGAACAGGAAAAAAAGTGAACAAAGATATATCAGGAAAATGCAAACCAAGCAAACCCAGGAGTTGTGATAGTAATAGCAAAGTCATATGCAAAGTAAGAAGCATTAAATGGCCAGGCATAGATGCACACTTGTAATCTGGAGGCTGAGCCAGGAGGATTGTGAGTTCAAGGCCAGCCTGAGCAATACACCAAGACCTCATCTCAAATAAACAAAACAAAACAAAGCATTATATGGAACAAACTCACTTTAAAGTGATTAAGGGTACAACAGAATCACCTGTCATAACAGTATTAGACCTTGATGGTTTCAAAATAGTTCTTTCAAATTCACAAAAAAATAATAGATCTAATACAATAGAAACTGTTTTAAGGCATAGAGAAAAGGGACGATTTCTTAATTCTTTTTATAAAGCCAGTTTAACATCAGTAGCAAAACCTGACAAAGCATCTAAGGAAACCGCATACCAGTGAGCTTCTCTGTTAGGTGGAATTAGATACTGCTCCAGTTTACAGAAAACCCAAATGCGCACTCAAAGGTTTGTGTGGTGGCTTTACTGTCATGAGGGAGCCAGACTCCCATGTATTTTTTTCTCTTTCTTTCCTCTCTTTTTTGTTTTCTTTCTTTCTTTCTTTCTTTCTTTCTTTCTTTCTTTCTTTCTTTCTTTCTTTCTTTCCTTTCTTTCTTTCTCCCTCCCTCTCCCTCTCCCTCTCCCTTTCTCTCTCCCTCTCCCTCCCTCTCCCTCTCTCTCCCTCCCCCTCTC